TTGCTTTCATTGGGAGAAGGCAGAAGCACCTAAGAGTGGAGAGCACTTTTTTGAGCTGGTCTTATGTACCTTCTTTCTGGCTCCCATCCAACCCACCCACTGTTCTATGTCACCCTCCTTGCGTTGCTCCCTGGAGTTTCATGTTTTCTTACCCTCCATGCTTTGTCTGTACTGTTTCTTATACCTACAGTGCCTCCCACTACCTGCATTGTCTTAAAACTCAGCCCAAATGTCACCTTTCCAAGGTGTCTTAGGCAACAAAGCTGACCACTTCCATGATGTTTTGTGTTTTGCTTGCCCCACCATAGCATATCTTGCATTTCTAACCACTGATTTCTTTGTTTCACTCTTACACTAGACTACACGTATTTTTTAAGTTAGCATACAGTGTTTTATTATAGCATTTTGTTTTGTTTTTCAAGACAGTTTCTCTGTATAATAGCCCTGGCTGTTCTGGAATTCGCTCTGTAGACTAGGCTGGTTAATAGCATCTCATACATATTCTGTTATATTTTGTTCTCATTTTATCCATCCGCAGTGCCCTCCTTGTCCTTCCTGTTCCCCTCTTGCTTATCGCTTCTTGACAAATAGCCTCCTCTTCTGCTTTCATGCCATCTGTGTGACATGAACCACACATCTATGCCCTCTTCTGCCTCTTCAGAAGCTCGTCTACCCTTCATGGTTTCCTTTGTATCCACACACACATTTAGAATCTGCATATAAATAAGTGGGGTTTGTGTGAGTCTCTCTTACTTTGCATAACATGCTATTTTTAGATCCATCAGTTTTCCTTCAAATGGAAGAATTTCATTTTTTATTGCTACATAAAATTCCATTTTGCATATATAGCACACTTATCTGCTCACCTGTTAGATGTCTAAGTTAGGTCTTGACCATCTTGTGACTAGTGCTGCAATAAACGTGAGTGGTCAGGTATTTCTGTGATGTGTTGATTTATTTTTTGGATGTATATTGAGGGGTGGTATAGCTGGATCATATGGAGATTCTATTTTTAAGGTGTTTTGTTGTGATATGCTAAATTAATTTTCTGTGGATACATAACCAGTAATAGAATTCCTGGATAACTGTATATATGGTATTTCTTTTTAATTTTTCAGATTAATTTTGTTTCTTTGACAATTTGATGTATCTATACATTGTATTCTGAATATTCTCTCCTGCATCCCTCCCTCCCCTCCCTCCCTCCCTCCTCTCCCTCCCTCCCTTTTCAATGTGCTCTCGTTCCTGGCCAGTATCTTTTCCAGATTCATAATTACCTCCCATCCCCTGTGGAAACTTGATACTGATTTCCATGATGGCTAAACCGAATTTACATTCCTACCAGTAGTGAATAAGTGTTCCTCTTTCCCTAGATTACATACATATCATGAAGCCAACAGCTACACCAGTAGGGCCAGATTATCTTTCCTCATTACCAACTGAGCGCACATGCTGTGAGTTGTGCTCTTGTGTCAGCTCGAAATAGCTGCTGTTCATTTCATGACTTAGAACATTCAGAATTCAACATGGTAGTTAGTTCTGAAAGCTCTAGGCTGATTAAGGGAAATCAAATTATATTTATTCATTGTCACTTTCTGTAAGAAGCCTGGGAGTATGTGATCACTATATATATATCCCCCCCCATGACTGCTTTTTAAGGAGGGGCGACTGCATAAAAGTGCTGTTTTGTTTTTGTCTGCTTTTGTTTTTTTAAGGGATCACTTTTGGGAACATCTCCTTTACTGATAATGAATGCCAAAATGATTTTGCTGTTTTGATGTAAAAATATGTATGTTAGGAAGTGCTGTCATTTAACTTAAAATGGAGACATTTGAAATGTCATTGTGTCTGTTCTCAATTGTCCTTTCTCCACATCCAGCTCAAGACTGCAGTGCAGATGAAGACAACTTCCTTGTGCCTATAGCGGTGGGAGCAGCTCTGGCAGGAGTACTTGCTCTAGTGTTGCTGGTTTATTTTATTGGTCTCAAGCGCCATCATACTGGATATGAGCAGTTTTAGAACCTGCAATCTGATTGACTATATTATAAAATACATTCAAATAACAAGATTTTCTTGCCTGTCCGTGCTCCTTAAAACAGACACCTTGGAACTTTCATTCCTAAATCAGCCCCAACATTTTGATATCAATCTTTTTTTTAATTTTTCATAAAAACTGTTCTCCTCTGATCATCTTAAAATGCATAGTGGCTTAAAAAAAGAACACAGTATTAAGGTCTGTCTTAAGAAGCTTTGGCAAAATTGGGATCCTAACCTGAGATGCCTTAAACGTATTAATATGACCATTATAAAAAGATATATGGAGTTGTATCTCACTGGAATTAATAAATACTACTTCACTACTGGTGTTCTGTTTTGATGTGTGACAGCTGTTCTGATTTAAGCTCATCACTACTACGCCTTTGCAATATAGTTCAAGGCTTCAAATGCCTATCGAATATGCTTAGATTTGGTTTTCAGGGGTCTGAAGTACAGATAGTCCTTAGGGCTATCCTCATTTTTATAAGACCTGAAGACAAACCAGAGCTTTACATCTTTCTACAGTTATGACTTTTGCTGTTGCCTTTGAGTTCAAGTTAAATATGAAATTTGATTTTCAAGTTTGTGATTTTTCCCTAGATTTAAAAACAGACTCACGAGGCTATAAGAGAACCCAAACTGGCTTCTTAATTAGAGGATTTTTGGTGGGGATGGGGGGTGGGGTGTTGTCTTATGAGTCAAGAGTTTCTGTAGCCTTGGCTTCTCTGGTACTTGCTATGGAGTCCAAGCTTCAAACTCACAGATATCCACTTGTGTTGGCTTGCCAAATGCGGAGATCATAGGACAACCTGGGCTTTTAAGAAAATGTTTATTTTTCAGCAATATAGACTGAAGACATTCCAACATTTAACCACTTGCTTTGTTTTCCTCCTCTCTGGATGCCTGATTAACACTGAAAGATAGGAGATTCTATGAAATAATTAGGACAGATTGTGTTGTGTTTCTCTACCTCATCTTGTTGATCTCTGGAGCATTAAAATCTATTTAGTGTTGTCATCAGACTGGTACTTATGCAGTGGAAGCTAACAGCGATCTCAGAAGGGACGCAACAAAGCAAAGCATCTATGCCCTTGCTTCTCCAAGACAGGCGCTGTGGGGCATTAATGTTAGCCAGCCAGTCCAGATTGAAATGTTCTCATGGTAAAAGTGAGGCACTGGTGGGATATATAAATAAATCCAATTATTTAACACATGACGCCATGTTCATACTGAAAAGATCATTAATTCATTCGAATGTGTATATTGACTTGTTCAGAGTTTCTGTCATGTACTAATTAACAGTACAAATGTGTTTAGGTACCCAGCTGTCAGTGTCTGCTAGGGAGCTTTCAGTTAAACAGTAGCCCTCCCCAAAAAAAGGCTAATTGTAGTTACTGAAATTCACATTATGTTTTCAGAGCCATGGCAGTGTTTCTGTGAATGACAAAAGTGTAAGAAGAGGAAGTCTCAGAGCATATAGGCAGGCCGTTGATGATCAGAGATCACACAAAACACTATAATTTATTCATTGCTTTAGCCTTGTACTGAAAAGACCTTAGAGATTATTTACTCTTAAGTCCAGAATAGTATGGAAAGGGACATGACTTCACTGATGTTCCATTTATGGTAGCAATGAACCCATTAGTATTTGGATTCAAATCTGAATGAAATGCAATTGCTCAATAGTAAAATGATGACTGATTTAAACTTGCACTTTTGAGACCAGAGGTAGGCACTTTGAGTTGTCCTTTGTTTTGCTTTAGTCATTTTGAATTAATGAATATAGGCCTTCCTTCTCAGTCATGTACTAAGACACACCTGTTAGAATTTCTGTGCTGTCAAAACCCAAGCCTCTGAATCATAAATATAGGAGGGAAAGAGAAGGGAATGAGTAATTGTGGATCACTTGCTGTGGGTCAGGTACTTTAAAAATATAGTGACTCCTGAACTCCCTTATGATGTAGCCATCAGTATTGCCTTTTAATAGTTGAAGGAAATGAGGTGCAGCTTAAGTAACTTGATAAAGTCATCCTTAAGTTAGTACTGCAAAGAGTCTGATTCCATGGGATGGACTTGTATGTCTTAGACTCTTCTTCAACAAGGCCATCAGTTAGCTGGAAAGAATTACATGTAACCTGTGAGCTACTGAATGCCTATGTTAAAAAAGTACTAAGCCAAGCAGTGGTGGCACACGCCTTTAATCCCAGCACTTGGGAGACAGAGGCAGGCAGATGTCTGTGAGTTCGAGGCCAGCCTGGTCTACATAGTGAGTTTCAGAGAAACAGTCTCAAAAAACAAACAAACAAAAAGATGCTGGAGATATTGTTAAGAATATCTGTTGCTCTTGCAGAGTATCTGGGTTTGTTTCCCAGCCCCCACATGCCAGGTATTGCCCACCTGTAACTCCAGGGCACTGGACAAATGTGGTATACAGACATATATTTAAAAACCCAGTCATAAAATACAAATAAATGAATCTTTAAAAGAGCTAGAGCACATTACCTCGATCCTGTCTTTTACTTGTACAGAATTATTTTTTCCCAAATGTGCTTGGTACAGAACCTAAGAGCCTTAAGCATGTTAGGCGAGTACTCTAGCACTGAGCTAGGTCACTCTAAGGGTAGATGCAGCAAGGGAGAAAGGAAATGAGACTCAGAGGCAGTCCCTATTGTCTAAAATCATACCTCTAATAATATAGCCATATTGTATAAGCTTAATTCTGAATTTGAACCCTTCCCCATTTTCCCCTATTATACTGAGAAATTTGGTCATTTTACATGAAGTGTTAAACAGTGATCTATGGCCATGGAATGTTCGGGTGGCTATTGAGAAAATAAGGGTTGTGCTCTAAAGAGATTAGCATGTGTCTACACTCTCCAAATGTGTCTTGTTTGTTTCTTTCTATCTTGTTGCATCCTTTACTAATTTCCTTTCTTTGCTGTCTGTCTGTTCTTTTCTAACAGCTGAAGAATGTGCTGCTGATTCTGACCTCAGCTTTCTTATTCCAGTTGCAGTGGGTGTGGCCTTGGGCTTCCTAATAATTGCTGTGTTTATATCTTACCTGATTGGAAGAAGGAAAAGTCGTACTGGTTATCAGTCTGTATAATCAGATCAGTCTAGTGCTTCCATTGGCTAAAGGCCAAGGATCGCTGTGCGTTAGATTGATTCATGGACTGACTTTGGTGAATTGCAAGCTGGCTTGGACATGAGCAGTAACTTAAGAAAATATGTTAGGACCAGTCTTCCCCCTTCATTTTCTTCTCCATTTGTTAAGATGTAATCGAAAGAAAACCTACACTTCACACTATGTCTCTTTATAATTTTAAGCATCTGGATCCAATTTTGAAAGCATTTCTACTGAAATATAATTTTATATATTGTAGTTAGTTGTATTTTGCTACTTTGATGTTACTTGCAAAATCAAAGCTGATAGAGAATTTAACTTGCTTCCCAAAGTAAAAGCTTAAAACTTAATGAATTCATCTTGGACATACATAATAATGAGTTTTTTCACCTTCTTAAGAGAAGTATTTAAGTCTGTGTAATACTTTTTACTAAAACAAGGGGGGTCTGGGGGCATATCCCAGTGATAGTGCATGTATATGTGAAGTTCTGAGTTCTACCCTCATAACTGCAAAAATAATGTTTTTAAAGAAAAAATGTACTCAACAGAAAACTCTGCCTGTTTCTTCATTACTGTTAGAACGACTATATTTTAACAAGGATTTTCTTTTCATTTTCTTGTTGGCTTCTGCAGTTGGGAATGTATTGATCATATTTATACTGCAAGATGAAGCAACCCTGTCAGCGCTGTGTGAGGTGTTGATTTTGAATAGACTGTTTTTTTAAGGCTGGAATTTAGAACTGTTTCCAGGCTTGTAACTTGTTCAGAGAGTTCATTCACCCTGCATAACAAAAGAAAACCCCATCTGTATACTTTTTGTGCCTCAGTGAGTTCAAATTGATATTTCTAACGCATTGACTTCTTCCTCTCACAGTAGCACGTGCTAACTGTGGAATTTAGTGGGCCCTGACGTGCCATCCATCAGGTGGCCGCCTAACCAAAGCTCGGCTGGGATGATCTTAGACATTTATTGTTCTTGATAGTCTATCCCTGTAGGGGCCAACTAATGGCTCTCCCTTATGGAGTAGGGTAATAGAGACTACTCATCTTTATGTTTGCTGGGTTCTTCAGCCTCTGAGTTTCTTGACGTTTACTACTGTGCATGTTTAGGTCCCAAATGTCAGCTTTGCACACCCGATATTAGCATGAGGCAGATGTTGATTTTCTTGAGCTATTTTCTCTCAGTTAAAAACAGAAGAACCCAAAGATTCACTTGAGCAATTTTTATTAAGCCTAAAACAGTGATCGTAAGTCTAAGTGATGTTAGTTTGGTAGCAGATCCCAGGCTCAAGTCCCAATCTACCTCTCAGCACAGGGCAGCTCTCAACATTGTGTTGCTCTCGTTAACTGATACCAGGATATTTTGCCATTAATTGCAGTTAGGGAATTGTGTTAAAAAGAAAGCTGCTATTTTATCTCTGCGTCCATCTCAAAGGTAGAGACTTCCAATGGGTCGAGTACTGGATTACTCAACCCCATCTCCTTTAGCAGAGTCAAGTGCTCCATTTGCTCCAGTATATATAGAATGGCTTTTAAAAAGATGTCCTCCAAAAGCTACTGCTTATTTGTTACTTAGTAAAAGTCACTTGGTACTATAAAGAACGGTGGCTTCATTTCAATACGCATTTTGGATGATTATCTAGAAGCCTGATTAATTAAATGGACTTTTTGGCTTGCTAAGTATATGACTTGAATGTTCAGATAGCTTCCAAAAGTATGGGTTTATTTAAAACCTTTCTACTTTTTGAGCAGGAAACTAATGTAAATAATTCTTCATTAGGTGTCATGGCTTTATCTTAGATAATTAGCAGACATGTATTTTATTCCCTGAGCATTATAATACAAAATAATAACAGAAGGGTAGAAAAGCTCCTTCAGCTCCAATCAAATATAGGAGGTTCAAAGTCTGTGAACTGAGTGGAGTGTTCAATTAGCCTTTCTCCGTGAGTTCATTTTATAACAATACAACAGTGCATCAGACTAAGGCTTTGAACTCATGAATGGTGATTCATTTTCCACCCAACCCTCTTTGGGAGAATTGATGCTTGCTGCTCTTTCAAGATTTGGATTTGCTCATTTAAAGAGCTAATGAATTGGGGAAAAATAAAGTATGCTGTGATATTGTTTGGTCTCCTATGTGTGATTTTGGATTGATACATTAAAGCCAATAAAGGTGATGCATTCTGTGACACCATGGATATCTTCATTTTTATTCTCTGTGCACAGTGGAATCATGATCTCAGGGGTCTGCAACTTGACTGAGTCCCATTGTGAGGAAGGTACTAGAACCTTTTTAGTAGACAATTCAAATATGAGGGCTTACATAGTCATGAAAATGCCAAGAAAATGCCCAAACCAAAATGTATACATCCAGAACGCTAACTTCTTAATAAATGTACTTCTATTTTGTGAGCACCAATGACCTGTACTCATTACTGAATTTTACTCTCATCAGTAGATGCTTTCCAACAGAGGCAGGAGAGGAGCTCAAGGATTCCCTAAATTCCTTACAACTCCTCTGCCTACTCATTTGTTAGATGACTAGGTTAAATAATACATAACTGTTCTCCTTCCTATGTACATAAATTTTGGTGGGAGAAGGAATTTAACACTGACATTCAATTGTTCTTAAATGTTTACATTTCATTTTGAGACTGCTATGTGTTTCATGTTCCCCCCTTTTATTCTTTTTTTATTTGAGGCAGGGTTCTCTATGTAATAGCCCTGGCTGTTCGAGAATTTGTTTTGTAGACCAGGCTGACCTCGAACTCACAGAGATCTGCCTGCCTCTGCCTCCCCAGTGCTGGGATTAAAGACATACATTATTACACCCAGGTATGCCCCCCCTGTTTTTTCCTGAGACATGATCTCACCTAACCCAGGCTGGGGCTTTGAACTGAGCCTCCTGCTTCTACCTCCTGGGTACTGATGTTGTAGACAGTACTGCCATGTGTAGCTTTTATAGCTTTAAGTGGGAAAATGGCTTTACACTTTACAAATATTTGGTGGGACTAGTTTCAGCTCCTTTATTGAATATATTTCACAATTCAATACCTTACTTTAAGATTACAGCTAGCAAACTGGGCATTGGTGGCGCACACCTTTAATCCCAGCACTTGGGAGGCAGAAGCAGGCAGATCTCTGTGAGTTTGAGGCCAGCCTGGCCTACAGAGTGAGTTCCAGGACAGGCTCCAAAGCTACACAGAGAAACCCTGTCTCAAAAAACAAAAACAAAACAGAAACAAGATTACAGCTAGCAAGTAGAGTATGTGTGCTGCTTGTAAGGATTTCTATGGATCTAAGTCAACTTGAAGGATCACCCTTTAAGGTCAGTGTGTCTAATACTTGAAAGCTAGTACTGCATTTAGAATGCTTAGGAAACATTTCCTCTTTTCCATTACTTTTGCTGCTTATGTATTTTGGTGGTACTCTAAATCTGGATTGCTTTGCTTCAAGAACTATGTATAGTGAATGACAAATTTTGGTACACAATGCATTTCTAGTAGCAAAGCAGCTGTGGTTTCTTTTCTTCTGTCCTCTTTTTTCCCCTTGAGACAAGGTCTCACTGTGTAGCCCTGGCTGACTTCAGACTTCACAAGAGATCTTCCTGTTGTTAAAGGACCCCACCCCACTCCTGGTAGCAACTCTACTTTAAGTGAACAGTTCCAGTGCTAAGCATTTGTCACACACTGTTTTATTCAGGAAAGGAATTCTGAGGTTCTTTATTATCATTCCCAGTTTTCAGAGGTGACGTCACCGAAGCATTGAAGGTAGAGGCTGAGCTGACATCTGAGCTCCGCTTTGTCTGCCCCCACAGATCGTGCCATGCATCCTGCCCTTCTAAGAAATGGTAGGCTTATAAAGCATTTGCCTTATATTAGTTACAGAAACCCAACTTTTGTCCACTACCAGCTTGCCTATAATGAATCCATAAATGGTCTTTAGTAGTCTTGAGTTTTGAAGGGTGGACGAATGTTGTGGCAGCATGCCTTTTCAAAGTTTGGTGCCAGTTTGCAGTGTACCTTATTAATCTGATGTTAGCCTCTGGATGACATTTCCCCCAAGCTAGCCTCATTCAGTTATTCTGGTCACATACCATTATCATTTTGCCCTTAAGTTCTTCTGCATCATGAATCATTTTGACTGTGCATTAGTGTATTTAAGAAACTAAATGGAACTCTCTCTGTCCTCACTTTCCTTAAATTAATGTCACTCCTGTCCCCGAGTCATCCCTTGGCTTTAAGTGCACTGTAGTTATGACACTTGGCAGTTTGAACCCTGATGCACACACAGTTCCTACTCCCCAATCTAGAGCAGTTTTGAAAGAGTTTCAAGGGAGATCTATGTGCTCTCTCTAGAGCCCTCCTTGTTACTTAGCTTCTTTAGGTCTGTGGATGGTAGCATGTTAAATTTATTTAACAGCTAATGTTCATTTATAAGTGACTATACACTATGTCCAATACATTGCTGTACTCCTCTCTAGCCAGATTGACACCTCCCAAACTCCCAAGGGTGTTCTCATCTTGCACTTCATATGCCTTCTACCTGGAATGCTTGTTCCCTAGCTCTCCCTAGCTCACCCTCTCAGCGCTGTCATGTCTTTTAAACCGTCATCTTGTCAGCGAAGCATTACCTGCCCAGCCTGTTTAAAATGGCACTCCAGGGCTGAAGAAATGGCTCAGTGTGTAAGAGCACTCGCTGTGCAAGCTTAAGGACCTGCATTTGAACCCCTAGCTGGGTATGGCCATGCATACTCATAACCCCAGCACCAGGAGCAGAGACCAGCAGGTGCTGGAGGATATTGCTGGCAAACTTCAGGCCAGTATGAAACTCCATGTTTTGTTGTTGTTATTGTTGTTGTTTTGTATGTGTATGTGTGTGGGGAGGTTATGGTTAAACTTTGTTTTGAATTTTTCTTACTGTTTTGATTGAGGTTGGGAGAGGGACAGAGAAGACATGAAGTTGGGTGGGAAATGGAGGAATTGGGGAGGGGAAACATGCTAAAAATATGGGAAGGGAAAGAAACCCTGTTTCACAGAGATAAGGTGGAAAATCATAGGGCACCTGTTGTCTTCTGGCTTTTGCATGTGCACAAAGATACACACTAATGCATACACACACACCACACATACCACACACATACATCATACTACCACCCCCTACACATACACAGGCACACCATACACATACATACACACACCTCCACACCACCCCCATCACACACACCACATACACACAAACACACATGTTAACAGCATCCCGATGGCTTTCCATTCTCCTTACTTTGTGTCTCTATCAGACATTCTGTGTCCCTTCCATGTTAAGTTAATGTATGTTTCAAGTATGTTTCCCTCTAGAAGATGAATTTAGTGAGAACAGGAGTTGTTGGTGAATCTTTTATTCTGTCCCAGTACCTAAAACAGTTACTGGCTGGCATATGATTTATTCAGGAGAAAAAAAGAACTTATTAAATGAATGAACAATCATCTCCTACAACAGCTAAACATTTATTAAGCACTAAGTGCCTTACTCCATCAAGTCTAAGATCTATCAATGGTAAGATCAATATTGCCAATTATAATGTAGCCATAAGAGTCCTGCTGATTTCAAAGTTGTTAAAAATTGGAATAAAAAAGATTTTGGAATTGATGTTTTTCAGGCACCATGGAGAGTGCTGTACATAGATTATATCATCTACCATTAATCAATCATTTAATGAAAACTAAACATATACCATCTGTATCATGGAAATGATCAAGTCAGGGCTCTTACACAACCTTCTATAGGACAGGATACCAATCCTCATTTTTGAAACTTTCACATTTTCATTTGGTGTACTGGCATGCACATATGTGCAGAGGTCAGAGGATCACTTGTGGGAGTTGCTTCTCTCTCCACCATGTGAATTTCAAGGATCAAATCAGGTTATCAGGCTTTGTGCCAGGTCCGTTCACCCACTGAGCCATCTTATTGATCCTCTTCTAAATTTTTGAGCAATTGACATGCGGGGGCTGGAGAGATGACCCAGCAGATACAAGCACTGGCTGTTCTTCCAGAGGACCTGGGTTCAATTGCCTGTACCCATATGGCAGCTCAAAACCATCTGTAACTCTTGTCCCAGGGGATTGGTGATGGGGATGTCCTTCTGTATATATGTTTCTCTTATTGGTTGATGAATAAAACACTGATTGGCCAGTAGCCAAGCAGGAAGTATAGGTAGGACTACCACACAAGGAGAATTCGTGGAGGAGGATGCAGTGAGGAGTTGCCAGAGGGACGCCATGTAGCTGCTGAAGGAGTAACATGCTGGAGCATTTGCCAGTAAGCCAAAACCACATGGAGATACACAGTTTAAAAGAAATGGGTTAATAACTGAGAGAGAGCTAACCAGTAAGAAGCCTAAGTCATAGGTCAAACAGTTTATAATTATTGTAAGTCTCTGTGTGCTTATTTTGGGCTAAACAGGTGTGGTACCAGGTGGGACAGAAACTCCATCAACAGATTGGCTTCATGGTCTCCTTCCTACTTTCACAGCCAATAACCACACCCACAAAACCACAAAGGTATAAAATAAAAACGTGTATTTTACTAGGATCCATGAGAGAATGTGCTTTCTTATGTGTGTGATAATTGTTATGTCACATAATGCCATTCCATTTATTTTTCCATAAATGTTAAGATTTTCCCTTTTTAACATTTGTTACTAATTTAGTTTTTACATTTCAACCACAGTTGCCCCTCTTCTCTCGCTATCTAAACTTCCCCCTACCTCCCATCTGCTCAAGGCCTCCCCTAGGAAGTCTACAAAGTCTGCCCCATCATCTCGTTGAGGCAGGACCAAGGCATCTCCCTACCCCCACATCCCTGTGTCTAGGCTGAGCAAGGTATCTCTCCATATAGAATGGGCTCCACTAAGTTTTTGCATTACAATTAGATCTTGGACCCACTGCCAATAGCCGTATATATTGTTCCATTCACATCATTGTCACCTATATTAAAGGAGTATAGTTCAGTTTTATGTAGGTTCCCCATTTGTCAGACTAGAGTCAGTGACTTCTCACTAGCTTGGGTCAGCTGATTATGTGGATTTCCTTATCATGGTCTTGACTCCTTTGTTTATATTGTCGCTCCTCCCTCAGTTCAGTTATGTTCCAGGAGCTTGGCCCACTGGTTAGGTGTGGATTTCTGC